TTTAACATCAACTTTCCAACTTCCGCTCATGTGAATATGACATAAATGAACAATATATTTTTCTGAGAATTAAACTATGATATCTATTTCTATTTAGTCCTAAGTTATTATATGCTTTGTTTGTTATTCTTTTATAAAACTATTTCAAATCAATGTATGATGCATTTGGTTTCAGAGATTTGGATACAATGATTCTTTCATAGACATAAAAAAAATAGTTATAACTTATGAATAACGTGAAAAATATATTGTTATTACTAATAGATATTCCCGTTTAAATGCAATGTTTTACTTTGAAAACGTTATGTTCTTCGTTATAAAGCAACGCAAAGCATATTAAACCATCCAAAAGAAAAAAGGGAGTGTTAACTGTAAGCTCATACAAAATGTACAAATAATGCTTTCAAAGTGTTATTATTGGGTACATCAAAAGCACTATACACTACTCTTTGACAGAAATACTTGTTTATGTGAAAATAATACTTCAACTATTATGGACAAACCTAGCATCTTCAGCATAAAACAGAATTAATATTCTGTCCATAGCCATCAGGACATGACTTTTTTCAAACATACCTAATAATTGAAAAAACATAAAGAGTTTTTCTTTTCAGAACTTTTAGAAGTTTAGAACCAAAAGTAAAACCTACAGTTACTAATTTAAATACCCAAAACTGCGTCGACGTGTTTTCGTGATGTCACTAGAACAAGGATAAAAGTTTGAATACATAATAAAAGAAAAGACCACGTATTGATTCATTCGTTCGAACGTTATGTATGCTTAAATGTTAGTGTTCAGCAGCGTTTAGGGATTGGGTTTATTTTGAATTTCGCGCAAAACTACACGAGGGCTATCTGCGCCAGCCGTCCCTAATTTAGCATTGAAAGGCTAGAGGGAAGGCAGCTAATCATCACCACACACCGCCAATTCTTGGGCTACTCTTTACCAACAAATTGTAGGATTGACCATCACATTTAAAACGCCCCCACGGCTGAAAGGTTAAGCATGTATGTTGGGACGGGGATTCGAACCCACAAATTGCGAGTCGAGCGCCCTAACCACCTGATCATTTCAGGCCTTTCAGAAGCGTACAGCGGCTGCTTCTTTCTGAGGATACGTTTTTGCTGGAAGTATTTCTGATATAAAGCTACATAATAATTACTTGCATGATCGAAAGTGGTCAGTTAGTCCTTGATTTTGTATTATAACATTACATAACTTGAAATCCAACATATTTTTGTGGACTTTCTCCAATCATCACATTGTACAGCAAATATCCTGCTTTTTATTATACATTACACATATTTCAAATTGGTATTTACATGCAGAGCATTGACATAAGTTATTGTATGAGATATTGGTCGTTTCGGCATCAAACGAAGTACTTTTTCCATGTAATAAAATGTCTATTTTTTGTGCAAAATTATTTGTTAGAAATATAAATAACCCTGTTTGAATTACAACATACCGATGAAATTTTATAACGTAGATTTAAAAGAATTATATATATATACATATATAATTTCTGCATAAATCTATCTCTATACAAGTTAGTCGTAATGAATTTGTAATGTTATATGTTTATCTATCTGTCTGTCTTTTCTCGCTGTGATACATATTTACCCTGAAAACAATAAAGTACACGTTCCTTTCTGTATAAGTCCTCCAGTCGCACAACGATAAGTTTGAAGGCTTATAACGCTAATTACCGAGTTTCGATACCCGTCAGATAACCCATTGTGTAGCTTTGTACTTAAACACACACAAATCCTCAGTATATATTAAACTATCCAAAGGATATTCATATGGAATTAAATATGGTTATATTCTTATTGTAAATCATTGTGAAGATTAACGATGATTTTAGACTTATGTCGATTTATAACAAAATTATTTCAATTCCTTTAATAATCAGTAGCATAATTACGTAATGTCTAGTTGTACTCACACAGACTTTTTAAAAGTATTTTTAACAATACTTGCTTGTCATAAATGCTCTATGATGACGGCCTCTCAAGGAATACTTCTGTCGACAGATTGATCAATACGTATTGCACTGATCTAAACTATTATTTGTCAATATTTGGGTGTATGTTCGCTTATAGCTGGCAAGCTGCTAGACTGATTGTCACTAAACCTGACACTGGACCCTTAGACCCCCACCACATAGAGAATGACATAAAGAGATAGGACCGAGAGTATCGATACGTAACTGTTGTACAATAAAACAAGAATTAGTGACGGCGTTATAGCTCAGTAAAAGTTACTATAACGATTTTTGATGATAAAATAGAATTAGTGTAATGACATCGTTCGCATATTAGAATTCATTGAAGATCAAATACGATATGCCAGTACTGATGTGAGTTTCCAAAACGTACCGATCTTTATTTGTTTAGAAGGCGGGCAACATGGGAAATAACAAGATTTTAGGGAACTTTTAGGTGTTTGTAAAAACAACACAGCTATTGCTTGTTTTTCAACTAACCGTGAAGTTTTTTTTTAATTCTTAAAAACTTCTAAATTTAAGCAAGTGAATTCTTGGAATGTTTTATACTTATCAGTATTTTCTGGCCCCTAAGAAATATCGGGTGTGTAAGCATCAGCATTTTTAATGTCAGAGAAATCTTGCATCCCAATAAGCATTATTAATTAGGGAAGAGTATGATATTGAATCTTACATCCCAGTAATCATTATTAATTAGGGAAGAGTATGATATTAAATCTTACATCCCAGTAAGCATTATTAATTAGGAAATAGTATGATATTAAATCTTACATCCTAGTAAGCATTATTAATTAGGGAAGAGTATGATATTGAATCTTACATCCCAGTAAGCATTATTAATTAGGGAAGAGTATGATGTTGAATACGACGGTGAAAAGTCTCTAGTTCGCAGCAGGTGCGAAACTTGTGATCTTCATCTTGATATTTCTGAAACGTTTCACTTGTCTTTCATCTGGGTTAGAGCGTGTCTTGTATTTCTAAGATGCCTGTGCCAAAAGTAGCCATTTCAAAGAATGGTTTATATAATTCTGACCAAGTTAGTTGACATGACGGTGACATGTATGTTGTGTCGTTTCATTGAACTTTCCTCACCGGCTGTTCAGCAGTCTGTATTGACACACGTTCTCTAAGGCTTATTAACAATAAGATGTATGGTATGTTCGCTTGTTACAAATCGGCGAAAAATGAATACACATCGTCAGGAATGGATATGACAACTATTGTGTGGTTAGAATACTATCATAATAAACTCTTCTATTTTATTAATATCCCTACGAGTTTAGATTAAGAATGTAGTTATTAAAATTGTAATCGGCTTAATAGTAATGGCTTATTAATACTGTCACATAACAAGATCTTTAACTTCAAATAGTGCAAAACCGTTTGTTTAATTTCTTCAAGACTCTTTCTTTCTACATTATGGAAGTTGAAACACCGATTTTGTATTCATGTGTATATTGCAGTTATATTATATTTGTCGTTTCGTAGTTTAAAATGGTTTAGTATATAATCACCAAATGATTGACGTTTACCGCGCCCTGCAGACATTTGATGTAAATTACACTAAAGATAAGCATACTAAAAACTTCGCACCATTTATCTCCTTGTTATACAGTACAATATCACGATAGTAAAATTAAAGCAAGTTAAAATAATCACATGTAAGTAATCAAAAAGTATATAGAATACATTTAACAATTCACGTGTTTTTCAAGTTAAAAGAGATACGCTGTAAAAGGTTAAAATTGAATGAACAGTAATACTCAATCAACTGCTTATCACAGAAAGTACAATTATATGAAATATTATACTCAAAGTCAACAGAAATAGAAGACAAATAATTTATTGATATTTTTAGCACATGTATAAAAGGACACTATTTTATCTTTTACAGTAAAATAAACTAGTTCTCCGGTGGGCAACAGGAAGTTTACGGACTTAAAACGCTAAATTCCAGAGTTCGGTTCCCAGCGGTGGAAAAAGTACAGATAGCTGGTGGTGTAGCTTTTCATGAATAAAACAACTATAAATTAAATAAGCAATCATTAATGATCAGTGATTTTTACGATCCATCAGCTAGTACGTTTTTAGTATAAATCCTTCGTCAGTTGAACTTTTCTTAACCTCTAGATTTAGGCCATTCCTCACATTATTCTAGTCTTACTGTCTGAACGGAAAACAATATTTCGAAAAAACGTTATAAAATAATAGGTCACTCATAACGCTTTGGTAGCTAATATATATATATACCTAACAATATATATTATTAGAAGTCTGTACAATATAATCTCAATTATTATTTTGTTACAAGTTACAGCTTTTTCAGTAATGAAAACTTGTTTTTAGAACAGGTACGACGTTTCGATCACTAGTGCGATCATTCTCAAGTACACAAGTACAATAATACTTAATCAGTAAGTGAACCCAAAACAAAACTATTAATCTCGAGCATATTTGAAGAATATGTATCATTGAATAGTGACGAGCGTATATTACTGTGGCGCAAATCTAAATTTATAGTACAGCTTTTACAGTAAGTAGGATTGGAATTTGTATTTACTGTAAAAGCTGTAACGAGATTTATAGCCTTTAACAATAATATGAATAACAATATATTGTTTTTCTTTTATTGTGAAATTCTGCTTAACAGTAAACTTTGTGAAATTAAATTGTTTCATAGTTTAAACGTTATTAGAAAATTAACAGAGGATGTACTAAATGTAAGATACTTATTTTCTCTAGGTCAGTGAAAATTGTCAGAAAATTAAAGAAAAACAATTATCTAGACATATTTATAATTCTCTTATTGAACGCTTTGCATTCTATATATTATGAATTTCATGCAGTAACTTGTTTCAAATTCTTGAGCTTGAAAAGAAAAAGAATTTTTGTTTGCACATAAACCTTTTCATTATGCCATTTTACACAGGCCATCGTAAACGTTCCATAATACTAGATTATTAATAATAATAAAAAGAAGAAGGTAAATACCTTGTAAAAATAGTAGTATTCTATTTCATCTTCTTCTGTAGAGCTGTTAGAAGATGTATTGTCGGACGTGTTTACTGTAAGAACAGTTAGAACGAAAACTGGCCCATCCAAGCAGTCTGGGGTTGGACATTCCATGGCCATGGTACAGATCGTTAAATTATTATTTCTAAAATACAGTTTATTCACAGCCACCAGAGGTATATTTGTGCCCTTTTAAAAATGTAATCTTCAGTCTTCGATGTCAGTTTAATGTCCAAAATTCCTAAACTTACGTGGTGACCTTTTACGAACTAAAGTACCTATTCAAGCAGGAATACAATTAACAGTTGTATTCAAAACAGTTTAGAATAGTTTTGGATTCCACGTTTTTTCATTATGAAGTCAACAAAAAATTTAACATATGACTTCCACATCTAGAGAAACGCCTGTCGCTCTCTCTCTTTCAGTGCTCAGTGCAGGAAAGAGTGTTGTACTAAAGAACAAATGTAAGTGCTCAAGCTTTTGAGGCAAGCTCACGCCTCTTCTCCACTATTATACGTAGCGCGCGCACAGTCGTGGAGGATTATTGGTAAGGTGCCAGTGTGCTATTAAGTTTTGACCGACTATATGTTATATACAGTCTCATTATATTTATTAATGAACTCTACAGTACAAGCGTCCTAAGTTTATCTCTGTGTACGAACATTATTATCAAGTATATGAAATATTTTCACTGCAAGAATCATTATAATATTTAATAGTAACTTATTTCCTTCGTTTCATTTCCTGTTGCAGAATGTAATCTCACCAACTCTATATAAATAATATATTCTATTTTTACTTGGATTGTAAAATAGGTTTATCTTCTAATGCTAACTTATCCTCTGTGTCTGGCTCCTTCTATTTCTAAGGGGGTTGAGCGAGTATTAGTGGTTGGCGTTCCGGAGTGGGGATCAGACATTTCGTAATTTGTGCCCAGGTACCAACAACAACAAAAAAAAGCGTTTCCTCACTTTTGGGCCGTGAGTGCATTACAAGAGTGACGACCAAATCCCTGTATTTCATTAAAATATCCAAGAGCTGGTGGTTGTTCGTGTTATCTAGCTGCTTTCCCTCTAGTCTGTTATTTCAAAATTAAAGATGACTAGCGCAAATAACTCAATAGTGGCTTTTCGCGAAATTCAACGAACACCATCTTCAAAAACCTGGACAACTGATCATAGCGTTCCATGATATAAATATAAAGATAGGATATTATTAATTTCGAAAAATTATAAAAATATCTTATTCATAGTTGAAAATAATTAGAATGATATTTAGCTCAACAGTTCACATGTTTCGCGTTTTTTTTCACCAGATGGCGCTCACGGAAAATATGACCTCTTCTCAATAAACTACCTTTGACTATTTTTCCTTTAATTTTTGATTCGACACAAAAGTTACATTAGAAGTTCATCTTCTGAGTTGTTTTAGGAGATTTGGATAAGTTCAATCAATTCTTTAAATTTCTTAATGTAGATAAACACTAAATAATGATTCAGTAGAACCTGTTATTTCAAATTGATTTTATAAATATCACAAATAGTAATAAGATTCTCATGAAACAAAGATATTAGACCAAAGATATTAGGTATTTAGCAGATACTCTAGAAATTTTTAACTGCTGTTATATACATCTCACCAATGGGCATCAGTCAGTAAGTAGGAAAGCCTGCGCTTACGTGCTCTCGGAATGTGCCATGTGACATCTATTTTCATTTGTTTACACAAGCCATAATCAGATTAACATTTGTATTATGCAGTTAGAATAGATTCAATCCGCTGTTATCCTTACTCCCAACTTTCAGAATAAATATTTTGCTATCGTTATATAGGAACCGGCGATAGGAAAACTTCTCTAGCTAAAGTAACAGTTTTTATGATTCTTAATCTAGTAATTATCAAATCCATCAGCGCCTGCAGAATGATTACAACATTAGAGCGACAGTGTTTTAACTGACTTAGTGATTATTTCTAATTATCTAAAGATTTATTTGATTATTTTTTTACAAATTTAAGGAGGTATACGAGTTGAGATATTTGTTATGGACCGAATTATCTAAGTTATGTTCTAATCTTTAAAATCGATCGCAACCTTTTGGCGGAACATTGAAGTGTTTACAGATGTTGCTTAAGATTAGACTACTGAAAAAAAAAAACATCAAATTTTGTTAAATACACTTAATTGTATCATTAGCCAAGCGAGTTAGATAGAAAATAAGTTAACGAATTAAATATTAATGTATTTTTCTTCTTCGATAAGCACTGAAAGCTCATATAACGTGAATTAATATGTTCTTTTAATTTGGCTTGATCTTTGGTCTACGTAAGCAGATAGTTTCCAAAGCTAGTCTAATCTGAAGGGGTAGACCATAACATAACAACATAACAACAGATCAAAGCTTAAGTATAGTTTGGTGCAGGAAACATCAATACACCATTTTAAAGCAGTATAAATTGAACAATTCGGTCTGAAGAGTGCCCGGCATGGCCAGGTGGATAAGGCGCTCGAATCACAATCTGAGGGTCGCGGGTTCGAATCCGAATCCTACCAAACATGCTCGCCCTTTCAGCCGTGGGGGCGTTATAATGTGACGGTCAATCCCACTATTCGTTGGTAAAAGAGTAGCCTAAGAGTTGGCGGTGGGTGGTGATGACTAGCTGCCTTCCCTCTAGTCTTACACTGCTAAATTAGGGACGGCTAGCGCAGATAGCCCTCGTGTAGCTTTGCGCGAAATTCCAAAACAAACAAACAAACGGTTTGAAGAATGTCATACTTAAAAGTTTATTTATTATCGTTTAAGTCAAGAAAGATAATAACTCGCTGACAGAAAGAAGTTCCTACTGTATGATCCTTGGCCAAGTCCTAGTTAATAAGTAATTAAAATCTACTGAGACCTTGTAATCATGGGCTTTTGTGAAACATCTACATCATGGACTACATAAAAAGTGTAACGAACGACGGTCTTACCTTTCTTCGATTTAGCAAATGCTTTTTTGCAGTTTGCATAAACAAGTGATTGAACAAAACTCTTAAAAACTACTGTTTATACACTATATCATAAATGTGGTAATCAATTGCGGAAAATCTTGAAGAAAACAAAAACAAGTATCTAAAAGTTTATAGAATAATCAAAAGATATTTTAAACAAATCCCCAAGTTTTTGATTTACTTATTTAACAATCTATTACCTATAAGAAAAGCTAAAATTATATTTTTTTCTCAAAGATATTAAGTGGCATATGATTGAAAGACGACTAATGAAACATCATAAATTTTCTAATATGACACTCTATTCTATTGATCGAAATACATCCCGAAATTGTAACAGAATACCACACCATGCAAAATCTCTGAAATACAGTTTAGCTAATAGTAGGTTAAATACACAGTACCGTGTAAAGTAATCTGAAATAAAGTTTAAATCCACAGTAATGGAACAATACCAGATTGATCTGAATACTAGTTCCGACACTTTCAAGTTTCGATACCCATGGTGGACAGATAACTCATTGTGTAAGTTTGTGCTTAACTACAAACAATCAATGATGCAAAATAAGGTTTCGCATTTTGGGATTGTAGGAACGTTATTAGACTGACAAATCTTACTGTTTAGTTAGAGTAGCCCAAAAGTTGGCGGTAGATGCTGTTGAGTCAATCAGATCAAAATCAAAAACGGCTAGTACAGATAGCTCTTGCGTAACTTTTTGAGAATAGCAAAAAGCAATCGAAACACATATCACGATTCTAGGTAACTTCAAACAAATATCAGAGAAAATACGGAGGTTACTGTTCACCTCATAATAAGCATATCAGCATCACAAAGTATGAAACTTATTCATATCCAAAGATTTAAAATTTTCACTATGTGCCATATTACTATTTGTCTAACCTCAGACTTTGATTTTTATTCATTTATTTTGCTTTGTTTTCCAAAATAATGATTGAAGTAAAGTGTTAAGTTCATTTTCAGTTTAAATATCAAGTGTCTCTAAACCCTCGGTGGCTCAGCAAAAAGCAGTGAACTTGAAACGCCAAAAGTTAAGTTTTGATACCCGCGATGGACGACATACAGATAGCCCAATGTGTAGCTTTGTGGAGTATAACAAACATAAAAGTTTCAAATGACATATGCAGACATGTCACATGTTTTTAACCTGTTTTAGTTAAATAGAATTGAAATCAATACTGTAATGGCAATAACATGTGGTTCAGAAAGTCATTACATTACATTGTTTTAGTTGCTTTGTCTCTTTATTCCCTATAGTAAGTAACGTCTATTCTACCCGAAAGGACGTTACAGTAACATATAGCATCCTGACTGTAATATCCTTTGCTAGCTAAGGTGACGTTGACAGAAGGTAAGACCAATGGTGTGAGAGAACACAAATCACGAGGTGAAGCTGTTGACTGGACACAGAAAGCGAGTTTAACTGCTGAATTCAGGTGCGCTTTTTTAACTAGTTCTGTTAAGATATCATTGAGTGAAAACAATTCAAGAACAGTGTTTGAGTTCTATGGAGATGAATCCTGAGAGAAGGAAAGATGTGGAACTAAACACAGACTAGTAGAGAGGACTGTTATTCCTCCTGACCAAGTACACACACTGTGCTTTCTGTTTGTTTGATATAATAAAGATTTTGTTCATTTATTCACATTTGTTCAGTCTCATTATTTCACACTTAAAGAAACTTAGTCTAGTTATCAACTACAGAACACTCCACTTATTTCTAAAACAAATCTGCTGTTATTTGTTGGATTACCTATCTGAAACTTGTCGGAAAATCTGTTTTACCTGAAAATACCACAAAAATAAGAAGTGTTGTTGTACAATCCTTTGATCATAAGAAAACTTAGAATGAAAATACCAGCAATTATGAAAACATTTTGAACGTTTACTTTATTGAGTGGTTAAACTTAATAGTTCGTTATATTTATAAATATTAGAACGTTTGCTTCTTAATCTAACAAATTTGAATGTTTTAACTACACAATTATTTCCTGCTTTTCTGTTATTATTACGAAGGGTAACTTCGAATATAGAAACAACTTTACAAACAACTATGAAAGTGTCATCAAAAAGGTCATATACAACCATTATTTTAACTGTAAATGACAGGGTTTATTTTAAAAGCTTTTGTTTCTCATTACATTCATCTTAATTTGTGAACACTGCATTCAAGTTAAGGTGGCCGTCTTACCCATCTTTCTCTAGTACGTTCTGGACAGCTGAGTGATAACTGTTATTTTGATAATAAAATATTATGGTTTAAAGTCCCAATATTACTGATGTTTTATTTATTAATTTCAATACGCTTAAGTTTTCTAATATTTGTTTGTTTGTTTTAGAATTTTCGAGCAGAGGACTATAAGAGCATGGCGATCCCTAATTTTTAACTGATAGACAGGAAAGAATGCAGCTAGTCAACAC